ATACTGAAAATGAAAGGACTGAAGAAGAACAAGAAATTGCACGTGAACAGCGCCGCGATAGTATGGCTCGAATTCGTGCTTCTCAATCACGAGAGCAAAGTGAAGCAGCGCGTGAAACAGCTCGGTTGGCAATGTAGAATCGTCGAGCGAACAACAGAGGTCAACAAATAGATAATTTGCGACGTAGAACAAGATATTTATCAAGTGCTGATTTGAATCGAGCAGCGTTTCAATACGATTGCAGCAATGATTACAGCTTGCATCCTAGCGTTTGCATTGGGCAAATGGACGTAGTTTGCGAGTATTGTGGTGCATTAAAGTTTTCCGGAGAAACGCCTGGATTATGCTGCCTTAATGGTAAAGTGAAATTGCCATTCTTGACTCCGCCACCTGAGCCATTGTATTCATTGCTTTGTGGCCAAACACAAGAATCACGCCACTTTCTTGCAAATACTCAAAAATACAATGGTTGTTTCCAGATGACGTCATTTGGGGCAGATATTATCGAAGAACGAGGATTTAATCCGACATTTAAGCTATTTATTTTTGTACTTATATAGAATGTAGTTAAAGAATAACTTACTTTATCTATTGGTACCTATGTAGTATATTTGCTAATTCTGAACTCTACTCTCCCATAGAAAAAAGTATTTATAACCCAGTTAATACTGTCTGGTTTTTATTTTGTAGATACAAGGACAGATTCATCATCGAATTGGATCATTACTACCTTTCGAAGATACAAATAATAAATTTTTACAAATATATTTCATGGCCAACATGGAAGAACAACTTGATCGACGCCTAGAGATCAATGCAGGAATGAAGCGAGCAATTCTTCAAGACTTGCAGCGTCTGCTTCATGAACATTATGCGTTGGTCAGGTTGTTTAAGAGTGCTTTAGAGCGCATGCCAAGTGATGACTATAAAGTTGTCATCAAAGCAGATAAACGACCACCTGGAACAAACGAAAGGACATTTAATGCTCCAACAGTAGACGAAGTTGCCATCCTGATTGTTGGTGAACAATTGGAAAAAAGGGATATTGTGCTTACACGTCGCGATACTGGGCAACTGCAACAAATATCTGAAACTCATAGATCATATGACACATTACAATACCCGCTGATGTTTTGGCAAGGAGATAATGGATATTATTTTAATATTAAAATGAAAAATCCATTGAATGGTGAGTATCAGTATCATAATTTATTTCATTTATTTGTGAAAGACACTGATTTTAAATAATGCTTATTCAAAAAATGGTTAATGTCTGTATTGTTTGCCTTTAAAATTTGCCTTTGAAATGGTTAATTATAAAATTTTTATTTTCAGGTAAAGAAACTACAAAGAAAGTTAGCTCAATGAATTATTACGCATATCGTTTGATGATTTCAGCAGTATTGCGTTGACATGTATGTAAAAATAGAAACGGAACGTTTAACTTTCATTAGGTTGAACCAAGCCAAACTGCGTTCTGAGGAGTACATCCATTTAAGTGATGCAGTTAGTACTGAAGGAAATGCAGCTAATATTGGTCGATTAACTATTTTGCCGGCGACATACATTGGTAGCCCACGTCATATGCATGAATATGCACAAGATGCAATGACATATGTTCGTCATTACGGTCGGCCCGATCTCTTTATTACTTTTATCTGTAATCCAAAATGGATAGAAATTATACAATTGCTGCTTCCCGGACAAACAACAAGTGATAGACACGACATCACAGCACGTATATTCAGACAAAAAATTCGGTCCCTGATGAACTTTATTGTTAAACAACGCGTCTTTGGAGATACTCGATGCTGGATGTATTCAATCGAATGGCAAAAGCGAGGCACACATTCTTATTTGGTTAGTGGAAAGAATTCAGCCTGACCAAATAGATGATATCATATGTGCCGAGATTCCTGATTATGAAGTCGATCCAGACCTACATGATGTTGTTACTACTAATATAATTCATGGACCGGTTAACGGCGGAGACTGTCACTGGCAATGATGGCGTCGATCACCAGATGACAACGGTCGAACTGTCACAACGAAAGTGAAAAGAATGGATTTCGTTGTCGACAACAGTTGGATTGCTCCATATTCGCCACTTATTTCTAAATCGTTCAAGACACATTGCAACGTTGAATACTGCAATTCAGTTAAGTCCATAAAATATATTTGCAAATATGTCACGAAATTTCACCTTTTTCTATATGTAATATGTAATAATATGTAATATAAACTGAATGAATTTGAATTATTTTCACCATATAAACCTACAAATAACCAATCCTACCCAGTAAAAATATATGGAATAATACCAAAATCGAGTTATCAATTACTCCTTTAAATGGCTTGTTCGTCCATTTCGAGCATTATTTGTTAGTTTTTACAAAAATCATATCTTTCATCGCTTTTGTGAAATGCTTTTGTTTTCAATAAACGCGTATTTTGTCACTTTAAATTAGTCTGAATTTTGTAATCAACGCATGAATGTGAATCAATGTATAATCAAGTATAAATACAGTTGTAATAATTACAAGTAACATATATATTTATTTATATAAATATTTATTCTAAGCTAAGTGCCGGCGATTAGTGAAAAGCGAAGCGATAAAAAATGTGGAATATACACTTGATTTCCTCTCAGCCGAAATGGGACGGTTAAAAGAAATTATGTGCAAACATACAGTATTATTGGATGCGCTTGGAAAAATCTTACGCTCAGCTGGTATTTACTTGCAAATTTTTGCAATTAATTCTCAGGTGGAGCAAAATCAATAGAAGAGCTGATTATTAAACAATAAACTTTTGTTTCGAATATATTCTTGTTTATATCATAATAATAATTGTTATACTTAGGGAACCATTCGTCTCGGTTTGGTCAGGACAGTCCGATTTATGCGTCCCGGGCTTAGAAATTAAAAAAAAAGAAAATTTCTCAATAAACGGAACAAAAATACAACAATGTAGATGGCCAATTTGTATGTTCTATTTCTACATTCAACATTCGGTTTAAATGTATTGAATTCTGTAATAGATTTTGGCGCGAGCCTCAGCGTTGTTCACTGACAGCTCATTATTTTCATTCAACATACAAAGTGAAACATAAGATAATTTTGTGAATTTGAAGCATAAATATTTACGAATAAATGTTACTTTGCTTTCTCTTTTATCATTTCCATTGTTTTTGAATAAAATTGTGTTGCTCTATTACCTATTATATTTTGCGATATTCAGTTACAATTTCCTGTTACAAACGAAATCATGACGGTATACCGTACACCCTGATCGGCAAGATATACCGGGGGGAGTGTTACGAACGATATGGCAACATGATTGACGTAATCCTCGTAAGTCCTACCTGCTTACGTATAAATTGACGTGGCGCGTTCTGATTGGTCCAATAAGCGAAACGGAAGCAACTATTTAAATTAGCACGGTGACAATGGAAAAACGGGAGCCGTTATGCATTCCGATGACAAATTTCAGAGTAAATTTTTTAATTTTTAAGAATGTCGCTTTAATCGCCTTTAAATATAATTCAGTTAAATTGCAAAAAACTCTCGCCTACTTTTTTTACACTTGAAATAAAATTTTGTAATTAATTTCCACTATTGCACATAGAGTGGCAACACTTCAAGCTCTTAAGCTGTAATTTTTTGGCTGTGTACATTTGTGTTTTTATTTTAAAAAATTCTTGAAGTTTAATTGATTTTTTTACCGTGTTATTACAATTTTTAGTGATTTAACTCTCAGTTTCATGATAAGTATTAAATGTTCTTAAGTTTTGTGCAGTATTAAAGGGTTTAAACTTTCCAATTTTTGGTGCCGAGTCAGCTTTTTGGAGTTTACTCCTTAAGAATCGATTTTCATATATAAAGCGCCCGGTATGAGAAAAGTCCGAGGGGTAAAACCAACAAAACTAACGAAAAAGTGTCACGTTTTTGGTGCGCACCTTTAGTGCGCAACTTTCTAATTTAGCTGTGAGTGTATTGAGACGTACATAGGGTATGATGTATAGGCGACTATACCTATATACTATATGTTATTGGGCTTGTTTGTTTCTATCAGTGTCGATGTATTTATATTGCTATTTTTGTTATAAATATCAATAATTAACATTGTAATTGTGAAGTTATAATTTTTTTTATCATTATACTGGCTAAAGTGAACTAAAAGTATTTCGAAATATTTATGGCAAAAAGGGGTGTAGATAATATTGCCGGAACATCTGACGAAAACGTGGGTGCAAGGTACGTTATAATTTATGTATTATATGCATGGGCATGTGCGATTTGTATTTATTAAATATTCAATAATTATTGATGAAGTTCATATAAATATATATTTGAGAACAACACATAAAATTAGATATTTAATCCCATATGAATTATCAAGCGCATCCACGTAAAATAGACAATTTCTAACCTAACAAAAAATTATTTTTTTCGATGTCAATAAATTCCTCCAAGTTACTATGATTTATTTTCTAAATAATTTTTAAATATTAATAATTCAAGTCAATAATTCGATACTATGTGAAAAATCAACAATATTTCTCGATTATAATGTTTTTCTGAAAAATTAATCTTAAATTAATTAATTAAAATTAAATTTAATAAAAAATTCAAATTAAAAATTAAAATTAGTCTTAAAATTAATCTTAAATTAATTTTCTGAAAAATTAAATTTAATCTGAAAAATCAACAATATTTCTTGATTATAATAATGTTTTTATAAAATTTTCTTTTGGAAAGTTATTTTTTAGCATACTTAAATAATTTTCATGTACTATTTATTATTGTACGTAAAAAATTTAGTGAGATAATTACCTTTTTACAACTATATTTTGTTAGTTATTAAGATAATATTATATTTGAAAAAAAATTTGTTATAATCATTTTAAAAAAATGTTTATAAAAAAATTTTTTATTATCAATTTTCCTAAAGTTGGTTAAAATTTTTCTAATTATGCATTTATAAATTTTCTAATTTTTTAAAAAAATTTTTTACTAAGAAAAAATCAAAACCACCTCTAATAACTCCAGCCGAGAGACAACGAATTTGCAGATTAAAAAAAAAACGCATTAATGACGCAATCAAAACCACCTCCAAAAACTACAGCCGAGAGACAGCAAACCTACGTATTGAAAAAAAAACGCATTAATGAAGGAAGTACAAAAGATTCTGACAACCAACCAACCCTCAAGGTCCGTCGCACCCGTGATTGCTGTACAGTTGCCACCATCAAGTCCTGAAAGTGTCAAGGTGTCAAGTAAAAGACGGAATGAACGTCCATCAAAAGTTAACTTTGATGAAATCCTTCAACTTCCAAGCCAACCTACACTTTCTTCACATTTGCCAAATGGTGAAATACAAGTATTAAATCAGCCAAGCGAAAATAGAGATGTTGATGCGTCAATGCAATCGCAAAATCTTCATGACAGTGATTATAGCGTGTATGCAGAGTCAGACATTGAAGATGAACAAATTGATGATGAAGATGATTTAAATTTGGAGGATATTGTGCTACCAGAAGAGAATCCAAGCCATTCGTATAATGGCTAATGTGCGCATCAATCAGCGCATAAACTATTTCACAAGATGTTTGTGAAAAATCCTTTTGGTCATGTCTGCAAAATTTGTGATTGCCTATGGTTTTTAAACGATCTGAAACCTTGCCATCCTGATGATGAAAATCTACTCAAACAAATAACGGTAGGTCAAAAATTTAATTTTTTTAAAATTGTTATTTATTTAATACCTTATTAATTCTTATCATATGATATTTTTCTGTTTAGACATTTACCGACGTGGCTGATGTCAAGGTGTGTAAGACTTGTAGTGTCAGTATTAAAAAACACAAGATTCCGTTGTTGTCAACCTTTAATGCTTTCAAATATCCAGAAAGACCAGCGGACTTACCAGAATTAGACATCATCACTGAAAGATTTATATCACCACGGCTTCCTTTTATGCAGATACGTAGATTGCGGCATTTCAACGGCCAGTTCGCAATAACCGGACAAATAATCAATGTACCTGTGTCAGTTAACAATATGATAAACCTTTTACCCCGACCACTCGATGGCCGGGAAGAAGATTTTTGTATTAATGTACACATCAAAAAAAGCTTATTCATGGACTAGTTAAAAGATCTGTCATCAAACAATGGTTAACCTATTTGGTTCAGACACCTTTATATAGACATTATGATATCAAAATAGATGATTCTTGGTTCACAACTGATGATAATGTTATAATTGATTACACTGAATTTGCAGATAATATAATACCTGTTGACCCTGACTCTGTACAAACCCGAAGACATATTGATGACTTCAGTGAACGCATTGAAATTGATGGTAGTCTTGTAGCCCAACAGCAAACGCTTATGTTGAATGAAGATAAATTTTTTCACATCGCTCCAGGTGAAAACAAAATTCCTATGAGTTTACTGTTCGATACACATGCAGAGGAATTGTCGTTCCCAGCTATTTACTTAGGACAATTCCGTGTATTCCGGGAAGGCATTACAGTGACACCGTTTATGATGGCAACCAGTGAATTACGTCGTTGTGATAGGCGGGGAGTGACACCGAATAAACTTCTTTATACTGCGATGAAAATATTGCGACTGAGAGTTTGTGATGGTTTAAAAATTGGGTTCAAACATATCGGCACGGATACCAATATTTCTAAAGAGCAAGTTCTATCTGAAGAATATATAAATACCTGTTTAGAGAGCAACTTAGCTTTTTTGAAATCAATTCCTAATTCTGCAGCTTATTGGTCTGCACGTAAGCGGAATTTGTTTGCAATGATGCGCCAGTTGGGTAAACCAACGATGTTTTTGATTATCAGCGCTAATGAAATAGGATGGCCGCATCTTTTAAAACTTCTGCATAAACTCAAGAATAACGGTGAAATACTGACGGATGAACAGATTGAAGCATTAAATTACTTTCAAAAAACAACCTTGGTCAATGAAGATGCCGTAAGTTGCGCAATTTACTTCAACAAGTTGGTCAATGTCATAATGTTAGTTTTACAATCGAAAAAAGTAAGTCCATTTGGAAAATATAGAGTTCTTAATTACTTCAAACGCATTGAATTCCAACATAGGGGTAGTCCACACGCCCATATATTATTGTGGTTGGATAATGCACCTAAAAATGCGTTAGGAGAAAATTATCAAGAAGCAATTGCCTTAATTAATGCTCTTATCTCTGTGAATTCATCAGAAGCATCTGAACACATCAAACTACAAACTCATAAGCATACTTTCACGTGCTTTAAAAATACACGCGCAAATGCTCGGAAATGTCGATTCGAGGCGCCTTTCTTGCCTATTCGTGAAACAACGATTCTTATACCTTTGGAGAGTGAAAATCCAGAGTTGAAGAATCTAAAATTACAGTACCAAAATATACGGAAAAACTTAGAAGATAATAATTACGATAATTTTGAAGAATTTTATCAAGCTAATGACATATTATCAGATCAGAATTACATGAACATTATTCGAGCTGGAATCAATCGACCGCGAGTATTTATAAAAAGGCAACCTTTTGAAAAATGGCATAATTGTTTCAATCCTTTCATTCTCAGTGTGGTTGGGTCCAATATGGATTTTTAATTCATCACTGAAGAATATTCATGCGCCCAGTACGTCGTTGATTACATTAATAAAACGAACAGAGGAATTAGTGACTTACAACAGAAACTCGTTGATATTATGAACGAGTATCCAGACTTTGATATTATTTCTGCAACTAAAAAACTCAGCGTCAACGTACTCAATACAGTCGAAATGTCTAGTCAAGAAGCTGCGTGGTTTTTATTACGAGAACCCATGTCCAAAGCGTCGGTAGCTGTTCAATATATACCTACTTATTGGCCACAACACCGAGAGCGAATTAGGAAAACTCTAAAGGAATTAGCACAACTTGATGATGACAACACACGCATTTGGAAGGAGAATTGGTTTGACAAATACGAAAAAGACCAGTTGAACTTGATCACGTTACTCTAGCCCAGTTTGTTTCCCGGTATAATGTTACTGCTAAAGGCATTGTAAAACTACGGAAGATTCCACAAATTTTAAGATATTGAAATTATGACATGGGGAAGGAATTGTCGGAATACAAAAGAGAAATGGTTACTCTGCATATTCCGTTTAGGATTGAAGAAACTGATATTCTAGCAGACATGAGATTTTTACGCATATTTGAAGAAAATCAAGCCGTCATAATGGAAAGAAGACAAGAATTTGAATCTAATATAGACATTGCCAAAACCATATAAATTTGCTCTCGGTTATGTCGGGAAGAAATTGAGCTCAATGATTCACAGGATCATCGGAATCAACTTTATGTCGAGGAAGATCCGTATCAACTTCTTCTTCAAGATCCTCGTTCAAGGGTTAATAATGACGTGGTATAAGCGACGATGAATAAGCTCGGTGCGATATGGAAAAAGAAAGAAAATTTGATGGAGACACAAGATTTTCTCGAATTGATGAGAAAAACAAATGCGAAGCAGTACGAGTTAGCACAACATGTTATATGGTTGTTAACTTTTCCCAATCCAGTCCCGTTACAGCTTTTTTTAACTGGTCCTGCTGGATGTGGAAAAACATTCCTAATTAAACTTATCAATACTAATAAAACTTATCAAATCTGTAATCGGTTCACTGATACGGATGGTTACTGCAATGCTTATCTTGCATGTGCATCGACAGGAAAGGCTGCAGTTGCTATAGGAGGCACGACTGTTCATACTGCTTTCAAAATCACTCTTTCGGGATTTCAAACACCATTATCAAACGAAGTTAAAGGATTATATAGATCTTTATTCAAGTTCGTTAAAATGATATTAATTGATGAAATCAGCATGATTGGGGCTGAAATGTTAGAGCGCATTGATCTCAGATTGAAAGAAATAACTGGTAATTTTGATGCTGCTTTTGGTGGATTACACATAATTTTTATCGGTGATTTGAGACAACTGCCCCCTGTAAGAGCTACTCCTATTTGGAAACAAAAAGTTCAACGAATTGATGGTCGGCAATTATGGAGAGAAATAACTTTTTTTTGAATTGATCGAAGTTATGCGACAAGAAAACTCTGAATTTTCATCACTATTGACAAATGTCGGTAATGGAGATCAATTAAATACACAACAGTTGGCTATGATTGAGTCAAGGTTTTGTTCAGAAGCAGAAGCAGAAGAACGCTGTCCTGATGGAATCCGTTTACTTAATGACAACCACTCAGTTGACGCGTATAATTTAAAAATGTTGAGTTCATCTGATGAAATGGCCAATTTAATTGCTGATGACGAAATAATTGGATGTGATGGAGATCACGAAAAAGAAAGAGCTGCTAGAAACAAGCTTCATAAGTTTGCTACAATCGACACAGGAGGATTGCCCTACGAAATTACTTTCGTTGTAGATAAGCCATATATGATAACAACCAACATCGACGTCGCTGATGGCTTGGCCAATGGAGCGGTCGGTAAACTTTCGTATGTTGAGTTGGATCCTCAAAATAAAGTACTGCGAGTTTGGCTTCTATTTCCAAAAGGTGTTGGTGTTAAAGCTCGCGGGAAAGTGGCTGGTTATGCAAACTCAAAAGGACTCAGTAGAGAATTCGTTCCTATTAACCGTAGATCTGCAACGGTGCCTCTCAATCGAAATAAATCGATTCATGCCAAAAGAAATCATTTCCCACTCAAACCGGCTTGCGCGTTGACCATTCACAAGTCACAAGGAGGAACATTTGATGAAATTGTAAACAAATACCAGAAGACACATTCGCAATCTTTGGTCTACGTAGCCTTATCCAGGGTCACGTCACAAGAAGGCCTTCACATTGTTCCTGCTAATAACATTCAACGTTTCTATCATGGTAGACGATGTAACGCAGCAATGGCCCCTTTACGCCAAGAATTTATGAGGCTTTCCACTGCTCAACTCACAACAGTTGATCAGGTTATACTTAATAAAATAAATGAAGGAAACATGATTCTCTTCTTGCTCAATTGCCAAAGTCTCCGAGCACATGCACGTGATCTCCGTAGTAACATTATACAAAAAGCAGATATTTTAATATTATCAGAAACATGGCTTCGCAACGAGGAATCCGTTGAAATTGAAAATTTCAGATGTATATCCCAATATCGACGTCCTGACATTAATCGAGGAGGCGGGGTCAGTATTTATCACAATCTTAATGATTTACACCATGTGCTTACTGGCAATAATGATACTTTCGTAAGGAATGTCCAGCACAACAGTCAAACACAGTCTCCATTGGGAGATATATCTGCTGCGAGATGTACTTTGCCTAACGGTAATCACATTGTTATAGTTTCGATTTACATTTCTGTTAATCAAAAGATTAATGATGTAATAGATTTCATTCATGAATCATTATTGTCAGATTACAGAAGGTGGATCGAAACTATTTAGGAAAAAATACCATTTACTGCCGCTCGTACTAAGTGGCGATTTTAATGTCGATCTTAGCAAAGATGACGGATTGACATTAATACAATTTTTAAAATCTGAATTGAATTTAGATATTGTTTCTGGTAGAACAATGGGGACAACGAGGTATGGTACAACCATTGATGCGGTATTTTCAAGATTCGTGAACCACGTATCTACCAACGTCCATGTATCTTATTTTAGTTACCATAAACCACTTGTCACGGTTATTAATAATGAAGGCAATGTTGATTAAATTAATATTTAAAAAAAAATCACAATAGTCAGAGTAATAATTACCTAATTTAACAACATTCCTAATTAAATATTTGTGCACATCTGAAATTTACTATTGTAAAAAGTTTAATGTAAAATATTTCGCCGATTAATTATAATTAATGTATATAAAATGAATAAATTTATATTTATATATGAATATTATTTTCTTCATTAATTTGTAAATTTACCCTTTCATATGATATTAATCTTTTTTCAGTTGAATAAACTTTTTTTGCGTATGGTTAGATACTCGTACTTGAGGAGTAAACTCCAGTCGTGCGTCGGAGCTGACACACACACAGTTTTTTTTATCTTATTTACTTCTTTATTCACAGCTGTGTTGCGTTTAGCTTTTTATTTGTTACAGTGCTTCTAAAACTGCTCGCTATATTGCTTTTTCAAATTGTCTTGGTTTTAAACTTTGATAAAAAAATTGTTCTTAATTGAATTTATTATTATTAATATTTTATTAACACACTAATTTATTATTTATCTATTAAATTTTGTTCTACTTACTCTTTTATTTAATCTTAATTCTTGTGGTTTATTATGTCTTGTAACTTCCCCAATTGTAACATTAAAGACGAGTCAGATCGCTACGTTTCATGCTGGCTTTGTGATGGGCTTGCCCATATTAAATGTGCTGGACTGACAGGTAGAATCTTAGATTCTATTCTCGACTGTAAGGGATTGCGTTGGTCCTGTTTAAATTGTAGATCTATTGAAATCGATCTATTTAAAGTTTATAGGCAGACACGCTATGGCTTAAACGAAATCGGTCGTGATCTTGTAACCCTCACTGAAAAATTTAGGCACTATGAAAAATTGTTCAAATCTTTTAAGTGCCTGAATGATTCTCACGAATCCTCTAAACCTGCTGCTAAGCGTAAACGTCCTTCCGATGAAGTAACACTTAGTTCTTCGTTACAGAAAAGAACATCTTCTCCCAATGACCTAATAAATCTCTCTTCTCCTTGCCCTCAAGGTGATAAGCCGTCAACTTCCAAAGAGCTCAATTCCCCAAAAGCTCTATCTAATAGTAATAAGTGTCTCACAATTCCAGAGGCTCCCCCTATTAACTTAGTAGCATCAGTTAATAATTTGATAGTTATTCCACCTAAAAAGTCTATATTTATTTCGAGACTTGCCAAAGATACCTTGGTGGAGGACATTAAATCTTACATTTCGTCACGTTTAAAAATCGATGATATCAATATACGTAAATTTGACTTCAATTATGATAAAAGTATATCATCGTTTAAAATAGACGTATCTTTTGAAACATTCAAAAGGATCTTAGATAGTTCATTCTGGCCACCTGGGGCTTTTGTACGCGAATTTAAACCTAAACCTAGAAGTCAAACTGAGGAAAACATTGTTAAATTACCAAAAGCAACCACCGATATAAAAAACTGATTGGTAGAAATTCGCTAAGCAATTATTATCAAAATGTTAGAGGTCTTAATACAAAATTAACTGACTTGTATTTGAACAGTTCCAATTTTAATTTCCATATAATTGGATTTACAGAAACTTGGTTAAAACCTCACATTTTTGATAATGAGATTTTAAACAGCGAATTTCAAATTTTTAGATGTGATCGACTGAACAGAATCGGTGGAGGTGTTCTATTTGCCGTGCATTCCTCTATCCCATCTGAAAATATTCTTGTTCCAGGGACCGACTCATTTGAATTTAAATGTATTAGAGTATACGTTAATAGTTGCTTTATTTATTTAACCCTATCTTATATACCACCCCATTCGGACTTATCTGTATACATGCAGCATGCTTCTTTAATAAATAGTGCTACCTCGATGGCAAATAATGCAGATTCAATAATTGTATTAGGTGATTTCAATTTACTGTGTGCTTCGTGGAAACCTTTCGATGACTATATCGTGCCGATTTGCAATCGGTCATGTTTTAATGAGTTTTTCGAAAAAATGTCCGAGTTGGGTCTGAACCAAATTAATTTGATTCCGAATAAATTTGGTAAATGCTTAGATTTAGTATACGTTGATACCTCTGCAAAGTGTTCCGTTATTCAGAGTAATCCTCTTGTTCTACCAGAGGACTCATATCATCCTGCTTTGGAAATATCTGTCGAAATCTCAGGCAATGTACGGGATAATAATCATCAAACTTCGTGCTTCTGTACTCGATTTAACTTTGCAAAAGCTAATTTTAAAAAGTTAAATACAGAACTTTCTACAATAACATGGCCTCATTATAATAGTGACATTGAATTGAGTGTCTCTCATTTTAATAACATTATTATGAAATTATTTGAAAAGTATGTTCCAATAGTAATTGTTAATAAAAGCAAAAGTATAAGTCCGTGGGTTTCAAAAGAGTTATATAAATTGAAAAACAGAAAAACTCGAGCCTTTAAACATTTTAAAAAAACCGGTTCACTATTCTAAATATTCTCGATTGCTTCGACAATATTTTGACCTAAACAAAAAATGTTATAATAATTACTTAAATAAAGTAAAAAAAAATATTGTAAGTAATCCAAAATCGTTTTATGATTTCGTCAACTCCAAACGCAGGATTTCCAAATTTCCGTCCGCAATGAAATACAAATCTATCATTTCAAGTGACAATGATATTATATCTAATATGTTTGCAGAATTTTTCAAGTCAAACTACTGTAATAATTCTTCCAAAACTTTTTCTTATCAGCAAGTGCTGTGTTCGAATACTTTAATTAACGCTCCAATTATTTCTGAAGAAGACGTCCTACTTAATTTAAATAAGTTAAAACCATCTTTTAGTTATGGCCCAGACATGATACCCTCATGCTTCCTAAAAAATAGTGCCAAATATATTTACTTGCCTTTGACAAGGATATTTAATTCCTCTCTTTAACACGGTATATTTCCTTCAATGTGGAAACAGTCATTTATAATCCCTTTGCATAAAAGTGGATTTAGATCCAACATTGAAAAATATAGAGGTATCGCAAAACTATCAGTTATACCTAAGCTTTTTGAAGCTATCATCGCTGACCATATAACCTTTTCGGTTTTTCCGTTAATTTCCTCATCTCAGCATGGATTTCGTAAAGGGAATTCGACTATAACAAACTTACTTGAATTTGTAAACCATGTATCATTGGGTTTTAGGGAACATAAGCATACGGATGTTATATACACAGACTTTAGCAATGCTTTCGATAAAGTAAATATCTCGATTCTCATACATAAACTTGATCTGCTGGGCTTTCAGCCAAGATTCCTTCAATGGGTATCTTCCTAACTTTATAATAGAACACAACGAGTGATATTTTTGGATACACCTTCAGAAACAATTAATGTTTCTTCAGGTGTTCCGCAAGGTAGTCATCTTGGCCCGATTCTGTTCTTGTTGTTTATTAACGATATCTCTTCAGTAATAGAATTCTCAAAAATTTTATTATACGCTGACGACGTAAAGCTTTTTAAATCATACACTTCAACTGAGGAAAGGTGTCGGTTGCAAACAGACTTAAACAATTTGGTTGCATAGTTGCATTAACCCGAATCATCGCTGGACAGAATCGCAAGGTGCTTCTTCATAAGCTTAGAATTTTAACTAACAATTTTATTTATATGCATATATTTATTAGTGTTTTAGTGTTTTTCAGAAACCGACTGCCCAAAGATTTTACGAGAAGCTACAAATAAGTACTCCTGCACTACAACGCATCTTCTAGGTGGAGATTAAGTGGCCTGTATAGACAAAACCGGTGCTCAGCTGCTGGAGTTAATGACTCATTTAACTACCATACCTTTGCACTCCTAATCCTGCTCCCCAAGTATCACCCGAATTAAATAATTTAATAAAAAACATGGTGACTCAAATTCTTCAAACAGACGGACAAAACATAATCCAATCCTTTTTAAATAATAATCCAAACCAAAACATTGCAGACCAGACAATAGATGAACGATTTAGAAATGACATGAGTGAATTGGACAAAATTCCCGACGTGGTACGTTCATTAAGAGATTTTTCAGGGAACGCTTCAGAATTCAGTTCCTGGAAAAAAAGCGTAGAACGTATCCTTAGGATATATGAACCTACGAAGGGAACGCCCCGATATTTTGGTATACTAACTGTTCTTAGAAACAAGATAATAGGGAAAGCAGACATAGCACTAGAATCGTACAACACACCTCTAGACTGGACGGCAATATCTCGTTGCCTAACAACCCACTTTGCTGACAAACGAGACATAGGTACATTAGAATACCAAATGACCTGTCTTGTACAAGGTAGATTATCCATCAACGAATTTTACCAAAAAGTATATTTGCATCTATCTTTTAGGAGAAGAAGCAGTACATCTACTGACAGAAAACTAACGTGCTAAAGCACTAGATACCTTTATTAGAGGACTCTCAAGACATCTCTCCAGACTTCTTGGAATTAGAAAACCAAAAAGTCTTCCCGAAGACCTACATCTTTGTTTGAAACTCGAGAATCAGAGTTTCAGAGCACAATATGCCAATAACCAAAAATACAATTACCCACAACCCTATCGACAACAACAATATCCACAACAACAATTCGTTCAATCAAAATATTTCCAACCAAAATATACCCAAACAACAAAACAAAAATTCCTCAAAAATAAATTTCATCCATTCCATCCCGAACTAACTCACATTCCACCACCAAATCAAAATTTCAATCCTTACAACCGTTTTCAAAATAACAATTTATTCAACCAACAACAACAAAGATCTCCTCCTCCAAGACCACCAAAACCTCCTCAGCCAATGGATGAAGATGTTAGTTTAAGAACGAGCGCTATAAACTATACAAACCGAGCACCAGCTCAAGATTTCGGCAAAAGACCATATCAGACATCTATAACTAACCACACACAACCGAAAATTCAAAGAAACTTCCATGTAAACTCAGAACTCAAACCGAACAATGAACACAATTATCAATACGACAATGGCTGCCAAAATAACGACAACCTAAATAGTGACTACAATTACAATCCTTCCGATACAACACAGAGGTATGAGAATGAACCATTCCTAGATCTGACAGATGTACATTTTTTAGGTTAAATAGCTCTTCGTTGCCTTATTTCAAATGCAAAACGAAGAGCGGACAAATTTTAAAAATATTAGTAGACACAGGCTCCAATAAAAATTATATCCAATCAGATTTAGTAGCGAACCCTAAAAAAAATGAAAATTAAAAATAATTCTAATATAACTGAAACCAATACAAATGAAATTGTTATTCAAAATTTGTCAAGATTTTTTGTAAGAGCGTCGATCGAAGACGTTCGAATTTAAGGGCGGAGGAGTTGGCACCAA